TGTCAAATCATTATGTTGTACACCTTAAACTTAACAGAGTATGGTATAAGTGAATTATATCTCAATAAAGTATGTGAAAAAAAAGTTCAGTGGCTCGTGTGACACATGGAAACAGTGTCTTTCCTCCTTGAATGTTAGGTAGGTTGATAATCACCCTGGTTTGTCACTCTCTCAAGCCACAATTCTTCACCTCCAATTACTTAGGGCACATATAAGAGGTTTAGAAAGTGTGTGTGTGCAAGTGTGTGTGTGTATGCACAGGAGACTGAGTTCAATGAGTATTTGAAGGTGAACCCAGCAGTACTCACCGGAGGGCCCATTAGACCTGGTCTACCCAAGGGTCCTACAGCCCCTGGTAAGCCTGTATCTCCATTTTCTCCATCCTCTCCAGGAAGTCCCCTTCCTCCTGGGCTCCCCTGTAATCCAGTAAAAATGTTTAAGGAAGAGAAAGTAGCAAAATAATTACACCACATAAGCAGATTTTTGTTTAGAACATAAAAATAGTTATATAAAGGGTGAGGCAAAAGTAGGTTTACAGTTGTTCATATGGAAAATAATACAATAGCCCTGGCCCGTGTTGCTAAGTGGGTAGAGCGTCAACCCAGGCATGGATTTAATTCCTGGTTAAGGGCACATACCTGGGTTGCAGGATCATTCCCCTGCTTTTGCACGAGGCAGCCAATCGATGTGTCTCTCTCACATTGATGTTTTTTTCTCTCTCTTTCTTCTCCTCTCTCCCTCCCTTCCACTCTTTCTAAAAATCAATGAGAAAAATATCCTCGGGTAAGGATCAACAACAACAAAATAATAACAATACAATAATTAATTAATAAACTCTGATTCACATACTCACAACTGTAAACCTACTTTTGCCCCACTCTATATAATAGTTTAAAGATTTCACAAAAACATCTACTTTATACATAATATTAAAAGTATAATTTACCTTTAATCCATCTTTTCCTTGGAGACCTTCTTCTCCAGGAGCTCCAGGCTCACCCTATTTTGTAGCAGAAACAGTAAAATTTATTATTTTGCTAAATCATTTTATTTTATTTTTTTTTTGCTTCTGGTATCCATAGAAAGCAGCATCTATTCCTACTTCTACTTTATTTATAAGGAATATCTGACAGTATAGAAGCATGATTTCATTTTCCTAGAACAGCTCTAAAGATGATTTAAGGAGTCATAGTGTTGTGAATTCAAATTACAAGATGGCCCCCGACTATCAATAACTTTTAGATAATAAAAAGTAATATATATTCAGTTGGCAGCTTTGGTAATTTATACAGTTAGACCTCTGTTTCTGAGTTTAAGAACTGCAAACACCACAGCTCATAAAATCATAGTACTTTGCTATGCTAAAGTGACAGAGATTAATAAAAACTTAATTCCATTAAATTCAGTGTACCTTATTTTTAGAGTCTTTTTTTATAGAGCAGAAGCAACAGTGAGACCCTGATACATCAAGAAGCTGTCTTATAGATACAGAACTCATAGACAGGCAGAACCATGCTTTGTGAAGCTAATAAAGTAGCACTGGCTCTCTTGCTACCTGAACTATTTGAAAGTAAATTAATCAATGCATCTTCACAGTTGTCCCACTGCTCCCACCACTGACACTTGCATTACTCTGATGCCACACTGCCTGCCCCACCCTCCTGCAAAAAAGACAAAAATATAGAAGAAACTGGATGCAAAATATATCTCCCTACTTTGGCTCTTAGTAAACAAATGTCTCAAAATTATGTAGGCACTGTTATCTTAGGAAAGAACTTACCACAGATCAAATTAAAGGCTGTCTCTATTAGAATAACTTGTGTAAGCTATTTATTTACAACTATTTGCAATTATTTCCTTGAATGAGCTTACATGACTAGTTATTTTTCAATATAAATTGGATTTCAATCTTTTGTCTGTCTTGTCAGGTCAGGAAATAGACGGAGAGTTGATCACTAGTACTTGTGAATTTCTTTTTAATGCTAACATTAGTGATAATCTGTGACATCTGGCAAGGGTTCTGCAGAGTACACCTGATTCTGAGAAAACAACATGAGGTTAGGACTCTAAAACAGGGGTGGGCAAACTTTTTGACTTGAGGGCCACAATGGGTTCTTAAACTGGACCGGAGGGCCAGAACAAAAGCATGGATGGAGTGTTTGTGTGAACTAATATAAATTCAAAGTAAACTTCATTACATAAAAGGGTACGGTCTTTTTTTTTTTTTTTAGTTTTATTCATTTCAAGCGGGCCGGATCCAGCCCGCGGGCCGTAGTTTGCCCACGGCTGCTCTAAAAGCTACTAAATCACAATATGAACAGAGTTTGGCATGGAACTTTGAAATTACAAAATACAGACACATTTTCTAAATGCAACCGAAAAGTTTATTATGCAATTCTTGAGGTCTTTAGGCTAGATTTTGAGTGTCTAAAATAGTTGGGCAGTGCACTAAAAAGGTTTCTAGTAGATCCTTACCCGTAACCCTGGCTCCCCAGTAACTCCAGCAGTGCCTGCAGGTCCAACATCTCCCTGAAGACACAAAGGGAAAGAGTAAGCTCTTCCTATTGAACCTTGATGTTTAAAAATTATGGGGGCATACCATGGGGATAGCGGTTCTGAAACACTTCTCATTGTTTCCCTTTCTCCAGACTAATTTATTGATATTTTTGCTCATTAGTTTTATTATTTCTATCCTTTCTCATATATATAAATATGTATATATATGATCTATACACACATATACAAATAATATTTTTCTGACAAAATTTTTTTTCTGGCTCATTTGAAAATACTTTACATTTTTATCTGCTGTCCTTCACCTACTTTCAAGGTGGTTTTGCCAAAAGGTGGCCAACATAGGGGATTCAATGGTGAAGTTTAGAGACCCCCCCCCCTACACACACACACACCCAGCCCGCCTGCCGTTACCACTTAGGAAGGTTACCTTTGCACCTGGCTCTCCTTGCAGACCAGACTCTCCCTCAATACCTGAAGGTCCCTACAAGAGAACGATTTGACACATCATTTGTACACATTCCTTAACCAATTACAAAGGCAATAACAACATCATAAGATGTTAGTAGTTTTTAGCCCAAGGGTAAGATATCTATGTCCAGAGAGGGTCTTTGATACTCATTTATAAACTTCATGGCATAAGACTAGATAATATCTGAGACTTTTTAACAGTTAAAATGTCAAAACAACATAACCTAAAATAAAAACCTTTTATAAATATTTTTATTGATTTCAGAGAGGAAGGGAGAGGGAGAGAGAGATAGAAACATCAATGATGAGAGAGAATCATTTATCGTCTGCCTCCTGCATGGCCCACAATGGGGATTTGCCTCCTGCACACCCCACACTGGGGATCGAGCCTGCAACCTGGCACATGCCCTGACCAGGAATGGGCCCATAGGTCAATATTCAACCACTAAGCCACACTGACAAGGCTAAAATAAAATCTTTTAAGACCAGTTTCTTTTAATTGTTCCACTCATTCTTTAATCCTTGGTCAAAGACAAATTACTTCCCCCCCCCCCTTTTTTTTTTCTAATTTTCTATTCTCATACTATTTTCTGTGTGTTTTCACTTTTTACCCTTCCCACCCATTTCTGTTAAGCCCTCTACAATATACTTCCTCTAATAAAATTCAGTTTTCTTTATTGGTTTTATAAAATATGTCATACAAAAAGGATACAAATTTATTCATATTATAAATATTTTTATCTATATATTTATGATATTTTTTCCACTTTCCTTTCATAAGTGGGTCCAGTTGAAAAGCTTTTAGTTCCTTTTACCCTGAAAACATACTTCTTGCAATCACTGGCTATTTCTAGGCCTGTATTCCTACAATTGCTGTTGTATTTTTTTGTCTCTTAAAGATATTTATTTTGTTTTTGAGAATGCTGATGCATACCCTTCCCTTTCCCCCTTCCTCACTACCCCTCTCTCTTCTCCAATCCTTTCTTCTTCTCTCTCCTTCACTGTGTGTGCAATGTATGTATATATGTGTGTGTGTAAAGACATAATTTGTATTCTGTAATTCCCATGTTTCTGGAGTAGAGGGGTAGTTTAAAGCATTAGTTCATAATAATATCTTGACCTAAAGTTTTCTGTTTGCTTTCTTTCCTTAATAGTTCATGGGTTACAGTGTTCTTTATACTTGTTATAGACTAAAACATCATATATGTCATTTTAGTAGTTTCAATGAAAGAAAGTCCAATTTTTCATTTGACTTAGCTTCCACAATCCATATTCACTTTGTTTTTTAAAGAAGCTATCCATGCACAGCAGTACAGAAGGACTTACAATGAAAAGCTGCAGTCCCCTTCCTCAGAGGCAAATACTTTACAAAACAATCTCTGTTTTTAGTTCTCCTGATGGTTACTTCTATAACTCAAAGTTATACCTCTACTCCTTGATGTATCTCCTTGCTGAAGTTTAGTTCCCTTATACTTCCCTTGTTTTACCAGGATTTCATCAACTTTTAAACAGTTATATTGTTTAAATTTTTCTGTTGGCTACCTTTGTGACTGCTCTACTGTGAGACAGCACTTGGGAGGACAGACTATGAAATGAGACGCCTGGGTTTCTGCTCTGGCCCAGAAACTACAGACTTTATATCCCACCCCGAGATTAAATTTTTGAGAGAGAATGCCAACACTTTTAGGATTTCTTCTATATCAAAATTGCTTTTAATCTCAGGGGCCTCTTCCAGTTCTTAATTTCTCCCAATCTGTCAGCTCTTCTTGGTTTCTTTTATCCCTTTGTTAGGCTAAATCCAATAGCTGATATTCTGATCTCTGTGGTACCTGTTTTTTATTTTATATACTTTTTTGCAATTTAATTTTTTCTATCACCTTTTATCCCCTCTATGCCCTCTTCCCTCTCCACACACCCCTCTCCACCCTGCATTCACCATACTGTTGTCCATGTCCATGAGTTCTCTCTCATTTTTTTCTTTATTGCTCTATCCCTTCCCCACCCCCGCCCCCCAGTTATCTGCCTGCTATCCATCTATGAGTCTGTCTCTATTTTGCTTGGTAGTTCAGTTTGTTCATTAAATTCCACATATGAGTGAAATCATATGGTACTTGTCTTTCTCTGATTGGCTTATTTGACTTAGCATAGTAGATAAGAAAGTTGTGATACATTTACACAATGGAATACTACTCTGCTGTAAGAGGAAAGAAAAATTTACCCTTTGCGACAGCATGGAGAGATATGTGGTACCTATTTTTATACCAATCTCGAATTAGCACTTAAAATACCCTTTTAAATTTATATTCTCAGTAGAATACTGGTGGGAAAAGTTACACATTTTTACAAAGTGGTATCATTACATGTTGAGAGGCACAGTGGCTAAGAGAATAGTATGTGTAGGGAAATCACCTAAATTTAAATGTAGGCTCTATCACTACTACTAGCTTTGCTCTTGAGCAAGATACTTAACCATTTCATGTCTTAGTTTCCTCATCTGCAGAATGAGTGTAACAACTCAATCTACTTCAAAGGGCAGGGGTCCTCAAACTACGGCCGCGGGCCACATGCAAATACAAGTATTGTATTTGTTCCAGTTTTGTTTTTTTACTTCAAAATAAGATATGTGCAGTGTGCATAGGAATTTGTTCATAGTTTTTTTTTAAACTATAGTCTGGCCCTCCAACGATCTGAGGGACAGTGAAGTGGCCCCCTGTTTAAAAAGTTTGAGGACCCCTGTCACAGGGTGTTGTAACGGTTCATTAATACAACAAAGCACATTTAAATACACCTAATCACACAGAAAGTGTTCCAGAATTGTTGGCTATTATCTTCTTCATCATAATTAATCTAATGCAAATTCAGTCTTCTGCTTCAGCTTGACTTTTAATAAGGTATATATGTTTTTTAACTTGTCATTTTCCACTTCCATTATCCTCAACTACTATTCTAAATCAGCATATTTTCCTCAACTGATCTGCTCAACCCCTGCTCCTCATCACAACAGAATTCTTGTCTCCTACTCTGTTAAAACAACTTCAGGATATGAGGTATAGCTTCTCTCAGCTTTCCTCAGGCTCAGAGGATGAGGATTAGAGTAGGTTATCATCATTAGCTTTGGAGTCAGATGTGGATTTAAAGCCCAACACTGCTACTCATTAACTATTTAGGTTGGGCAGTCAGGCAGATTCTGATCTTAAGCTCCCTAAGCCTTGGTCTCAGAAAAGGGTATTACCATCCATCCTGTTGCACAACCTAGAAATCTGGGAATCATTTTTTAGTTCTCTTTTCCCTTTACTTTCCATATCCCACAAATATGCAAGGTTTCACAATTTATATAACAAACATTTCTCAAATCAATCCCCTCCTTTCCTTTTCTATGCCTACCACGTTAGTTCAGACTGCCATCATTCCTTGCCTGGTTGAAGGCAATAGCCTTTTAGTAGGTCTACATGTCTTCATTTTTGTCTTCTCAAGTACATACTCCTTGTAACTGCTGGGATTATATTTCAAATCTGACTTTATCGCCACTTTGCTTATACTGTATAATTACAATAGCCCATAACATATGAAGTTCAAGCTTCTTAACAGAGTACACAAGACTTTGCATGATCTAACTACATCTATTATCACTTCTTGCTTAGACTTTAAGTATCAGTAAAGCCACACTGCCTCATGTTTGCATGCTTCTGCTTATGCATCCCTTTTCTTGAAATTCCCTTATTCTTATTTCTTCTTTCTATAGGGCTGACACTTACTCAATCCTTAAAACTCGTCTCATACCTCCTTCATACACACACACACACACACACACACACACACACACACACGTCTTCTGCTTTCCTTACCCAGGTGAGGTTAAGTGCTCTTAAATCCCCTGTGAATATCTCCATCATTGGGTTTAATGCATTGTAAGATAATGATCTTTCGTATGATTATGTTTTAGAATTCTATATAATAAAAGGCTAATATGCAAATAGACCAAATAGCAGAACAACCGGAACAACGGAAAAACTGGTCGCTATGACATGTGCTGACCACCAGGGGGCGTGTGCGGAACATGGCGGGTGTTGGCTGCGGTGGGATGGTGAAGCAGGTGAGCAGGGGTGCCAGACCAAGTTGGGGCACCAGCCGCTGTCATCGGGGTGAGCCACTGGTGGTTACTGAAAATTCTTTGCTCCCGCGAGCTGCGGTCCCGTCCAGTGCTTGCACCTGCTGCCAGCGCCAGCCCCACTCACACCCGCAGCCGGTGCCAGAGCCACCGCTTGCACCCACTGCCAGTGCCTGGTGCCAGTCCCAATCACTTGGTGCCATCAGCGGGTGTGAGCAGAAGCTGCTGCCCTGATCACCCCTGAGGGCTTCTCCACCTCCCCCTGCTCCTGAGGGACAATCAGGGCAGTAGCCAACGTTTGCACCCGCTGAAGGCGCTGGTCACGCTCGTACCCGCTGCTGGCTCTGCCCCAATTGCTCTGCGCTGTCAGCGGGTGCGAGCTGCGGTGGCGGGAGAGGGGTTGCTGGCAGACAGGGGACCAGGGGCTGCGGCGGGAGGGGCTGGGCGGGGGCACGGAGGATGGGCCAAGACCTGCCCCTGTGCCTACCGCAGCCCTGTGGCCCACAGTTCCTTTCCAGGTGCACGAATTCATGCACTGGGCCCCTAGTAGATTATAAACTCCTAAAGAAGTCAGGGACCATATCTCAGTCATCCTTTTATCCCCGATAATACACAATGTAAAGCAAAAAATCATGGCATTAAAAATAGGTGAGGAGAACTGAACACATAGGGGAGGAGAAAAGTTTTTTTGGGATGTGGTTGAAAAGGTCTGCAGAGGTTAAATAATGTAGAATATTATTTATCATGTTAAGAAATTGACATTTTATTAAGGCTATGAGAACCGTTAAAAATTTTTAAGGAGAGAGATGATATGACAAAGATAAGCAGGCAACAAGCTAAGAAATAATGGGAGTTGGGTGAGACATGGGATAAAAACAGAGGACCGGAGTACTGGCAATAGTGATGAAAAGGAAAGGTTAGAGTTGAGACATAGTGGAGGGGAGTGGGGGACTTATTCTAAGGGGAAAGATGGATGATTGGAGAGGATGAAGTAGGAAGAGAAGTCTAGGAGGACTCAGTTTAAAACTAGTGGGCCAAAGGGTTATCTTTCAGTGAGATGGGAGTAACAGAAGATAGAACAGTGGGAAAGTAATGATTTTGGTTTAGATATTTTAATTTGAGATGGATGTGGGATATCTAGGTACATATGTAAAAGACAACAGAAAATAAGTAAGTGAAGCTGAAGACAGAGGCATGCATTAGAGCTATCCAGCTGAGAGCTGTCAGAATAATACTGCTAAAGTCACTGTGATCATACGACTGCTAAGATGAGGAAGAAGGACAGCTTCACATTAAAACAGAAAGGCTCATCAGAAGGTAAAGAGCAGAACCAAGAGACAGCAGTTGCAAAGAAGCCAAGGAAGGAGAGAATTTATGTACAACTTATTTAGTGCTAAACTGAATAAACAACAGAAATAGTAATTTAGATTTTATAATCATAACAACTGGGGGTTATTATTCCAGAATATATGCCGAACCGGGGTCAATTTTCAATATTCTTCTATAAGTAAGACATGACATAGAAAGTTATCAAGTTAACTTTCAATAGGTTAAGGGAAAGTTTTATTCACGTTCTATTCTGTCATTTAAATTAGCTGTTAAGAGGAAAATTTTACGTATATAAAATTAGGTCCACAGAATAGTCATCTGCTTTTAATGGAATTTTAGGCTTTACTTTCTGAATATGAAATGAAACACTATGGAATTATTCTCCATAATATATATTTAATATATCAATTATACATTGAGGAGTCTCACAGAAAGCATTAAGCACCAATGAACTAACAAGAAACAGCCACAAAATATTACCTCAGCACCCATTTCTCCAGGAGGCCCAGCATCGCCTTGCAGTCCTCGTGGTCCCTGTATTAAAATAAAATTTAAAATCTGAGAATCGAAGATTATTCTATAGTTTAATTAACATATTCATCTAAATATGGAATTTATAAGATACCACATGTAATATGTCACAATACATTTATGAATGTTTCACATTACTTTCTGTATAAACAAAAGTATATCTCTTTTGATACATATGTGTTTCTTTCGTGAATAATAGTAAGATATGCTTGGATTCAAAAGAAAAGATAGTACCATTTATTCTTTCATCCCCTAATTTACTCATTCATCAATAAACACTCAACAAGTGCCTATTAAGTATGAAATATTGTGCTAAGGGGTTTCAAAAGTTATCTTATTTAATGGCCGTGATGATTATAGATTTACTTAACATTCTGGGAAAATATGTGACAAAAATAGCATTTTTGAAGAAGCAAATATTTGGTCTCGGATGATATAAAACTAGGCTGTCGTACTTTATCACAGTAGAGTCCAGTTGAATAATTCCTGTTTCCCATGAATGGATGTAACAATGTTCACATGGGATAATCACTAAGGTGCAGCAAAATGCATGATGGGATTGTTATGGAAATCTTGGTCACTGTGATACTGAATAGTTTAATTTTAAGTAAACAAATATTGAGTAATTACCTACTGCCTAAACATTAAATTAGTTAATTTAAGGGATCTTCTTAGGATGTGGAAGCCATTTAACTGGCTAGAATTATTTTAGATAAATTCATACTTATTTAGCAGCTACAATATAATGGTATTTCTCCAGTCATGCAAAAGAGCTACTTGCACTTTCTGGAGAGACAGTAATTTTGATCTTTCTGGAAAAACAAAAAATGTTTATTTATTTATTTATTTATTTAAATGTGTTTTTATTGTTTTGAGAGGGAGAGGAAGGGGGAAGGAGAGAGAAAGAAACATCAATGTGTGAGAGAAACATCAATTGACTGTCTCCTGGGAATTAAGACTGAAACCAGGCATGTGCCCTGACCAGGAATTGAACGAGTGACCTATTGATGGATGGAAGGAACCCCAACCAACTGAGCCACAAAAGCCATAGCTTTATTTATTTATTTTCAAAAAATCATTATTTATTTTTCAGTCTTCTCTTTAGATAATAATTTTCTTTTCTACTTAAGTTAGTTTCTAGGTTGCTTAGAAAATTTTTGAAATTTTCATCATATTTTTCTTCTTATTGAAGGCAATTTTATACAGTTGTGCACTGTACAAATCCAGGATTACAATATGCATCAGTTTCGCATTGATTGGACTTTATTTTTTCAAATGTGATTAAAATCTAGATTAGAGATCAGCAAACCTTTTCCTAAAGTGCCAGATAATAAGTTATTTTAAGGTGTGGGTCATGTGGTCTCTGTCACATACGTCAACTTTGCTGTTGTAGTAAGAAAAGAGCCATACGTATATGTGAACGGTTATAGATGTGTTTCAACACAACTTTGTCTACAAAAGGAAGTGACTGATCTGAGAGCTATAATTGCATATAGATTCACAGTTTTGCCTACATACTTCTAAAGGAATCTAAGATTGTCATGAAGATTTTAAGATAGGTTCTGATTAGAGCTAAACTGGGTATGTGTTTGATTTTCCTCTCACCTCTTTCAGTCTCCTCTTCAGTTCATTCCTCTTCTATGAATATTTATTAAATGATGACTTTTTTTTAAAAGCTCAGATCTTTTTCTTCTCTCACTCCAATATTCTCTCCCGAGGTCAACGACTCCAATATTTTTAACTTCAGTAAATTCCTCTGCTCTGAGTTCCATATCTAATTTTCAACTTCACATTTGTCAAAGACACCTCAAATCTAACATAGCTAAACTGCACTTATAACCTGCCATTATCAAACCTAGCTTTCTGTTGTTATTTCCAGTTTTAGTAAATGATATAATTATCTCATTAATTATTCAAGCCCGAAATGTAGGAATTGTACTTCATGTACAGGATATCTATCTCCTGTTGGTTTTATCTCCTTCTGAATTCTTTTTATACCTTTGCACTTCTTTTCTCTGTTAATCTAAAGGGTTCTGCCATCTCTTATTTTGCAACAGAAAGCAACACTCTTTTCCATTCTTGGTCCATTACAGTTTGATCTCTACCTTGTGGTTTGAGTGATTTTAACAAAGTAATAATTGGGTCATAAAACTAGCCCATCCTTTCAATGGCATCCCTTTGTTCACAGGATAAAAATACAAATTCTTGTGAACATGGCTCATAAAGCTGCATGTATTTTGTCCCCTACCTCCCTTTCCATCCTCATCTTGCACTTACTTTTATCTGACTCTGTGCCACAGCCATGTTGGCCTTTTTTTAGATCTTTAAATAAATATGTAGTGCTTCTTCCCAGGTGCATGACTTCTCTCTAGAATGACATTTTCCCGTGTTTGCCTAAGTAACTACTATTCATCCTGGAGATCACAGCTCAATACTCCTCCTCATGGAAGCTTTTCCTACCCCCAGTTAGGATAGTGTCTCTTCGAACTGAATTCCTATACGTTAGAGCATTCATCTCACTTTTAAATTATCCATTTATCTCTGTTATTAATTAATGTGTAATTCTATCGTTAGACTGAAAACTCCACGGTTACCACTATAGTTCACGTGCAGGTTCTTAATAAATATTTGTTAATTTAATGAATGAATGATAAACTATCCAAATCCCAATACTTGTATTGCAATGAATAAACCAGTTTTGAATCTTGTTTAAGAAAAAGAGACAACTCTAATAGGTGTTGGCTATAGAAAAGTTGTAGTCTTCTATTTTATTATTCTCAAAATATAAACATGTTTCAATATCTCTTCTGCATCCTTCATTTTACCAATTTACTTCTGTTCTTTTCTGTACTATGTCTTG